TGGCCTGTCGCATTTTAGAAAAGAAAATTTGTCCGCTGACTTCAAAGCTGTGCTTCAAAGCAATGAGTAATGAGAACCTTCACAGAGTAAAAACAACAATATTTGTCTTTCAAGTGTGGTGGAGTAAAAGTCATCAATTCCAAAAAAAATTTATACTCAAGTAAAATACAGATACTTGAAAAATATACTTCAGTAAAATACTCAAGTAATTGTACTTCGTTACTGTCCACCTCTGGCCAAGACTAATGTTAGCATTAAAACCTACTTCCAGCTTGGACCTGGCCAAAGACTAAGATATCCAGCCTTTGGATTAAATGTCTTGAAAATCTCCAAGATCTGGGATGATTAGTATAACTACAGTTTAGTTAATTTGCTTGATCCATTGAAATCCACTGAGCTCAGCATGGATATTACCAATCAGTGTCATCTGCCTGTATTCTCACCTCCGTAAATTACCGGTACAGCCTTAGGGTGTGACTTAATATTGCACACTGCATGCAAGTCAAATATATGTTACTGAACTGCCCTGTTTCAGCATAATGAAGTTCTTTCAATCAGGTCCTGTTTCAATTTGGAAGTCCGCCAATGAAAATTTCCAACTTGTCCGGAAGAAAGTGCCTGATATTGGTGGCAGGAGACCTTGTCGCACCATAAAGCCAGCAACTTAATAATGACTTTTTCAAGAGCTAATTTCCTGCATTGAGACATTGGCCATAAAATGAGGTTATTTCTCCTATCCTGGGATAAATAGAGATTTAACTGCCTTTTCAGTTTATTACCTCCTGCTGCAGCCTCTCGCACGCGGCGCAGATTCGGAACACAGTCTCCGCAGATTGGCTCCGTTTTCCCCCCCACGTGCCTTGTGGGCTACAAATGACTTTAATTAAGGGGAAGAGGTAAGGGGATGCTAACTGTCATTTTGTGCAGCACCGACAACAATGTGCTATCGCTATTGATATCCCTAAACAGATACAGTCTTGCTAAAGAAACCTGTGACTGTCTTGAATCTGTGTCTCTCTCATTAAATCTGCCACAAAACAAACGGATGCAGTTTCAACAAACAAAAACAAGGTGATGGGTCAATACGTAACCGCATGCTAAGTATCGCAGCCCCAGAAAGGCAGGCCTCCGGTGTAGAGCTTGATTGCCTGTAACATCCTGTAATATGTTCATTAATTTTAAAGAACCACATTCAGGACAGTGTATTATGAGCCTTGCATATATTGCAATCACATAAGAGCTGCTATATATCCCTGTTGCTGATTGATGGTGTCTCTTAATATCGCCCTTTGCTTACAAGGCGTCCACTATGCATATAAATCTTCAGACACTAACCCTAGCAGAGAGGTAACATACCTCCCCATCTTTATGCATCTCATTAAACTGGCTGGCAGTTGTGTATATTTAACTAACAGGCAAGGCTTTCAGGTATTTTATTCATTTACAATAATAATAATAATAAAAAGAAGAAAATAACATATCTTTTTGCAAGATCTCATGAAAGTTTTTTGAACTCCGATAATACTTTTGTGAGGTCCTGCCATATTGTTGCATCTTGAAAAACTTTTTGAGAGACCATGCAACACAATTGCATAATCTAACAATGTATAATAATTAATCATTTCAGGAAAAATTAATAATTGTCCAGTAAAGTCTGCTTTAATCAATGCACACCATTTCCTTTTTATATTATGTATTTTGTTGTAAGGACCAAATGTTTTGTTTTTCCTTCTATTCATTTTTTCTCTTACCAATCATGTTTTCTGTTATCATCCCTGATCTCCTTAGGGGTTCCGTCCTATAGGGGCTCTGTATGAAAATACACTTTAAAAGAATATTGTACTAATCAATACATTTACTTATTTATCCATACTTCTGTTTGTTTGTATATTGTCCAGTGTGTTCAGAGAAACACAGTGAAATTCTTGTGCTCCAGTTGTAAGCAAAGGGACTGATGTGTGTCTGTGTCTATGTGTGTGTGTGTGTGGGGGGGGGGGGGGGGGGGGGGGGGGGGCAGTAAACATAACCAATCAGTAATAAATAGCAAATGTGACATGGGGATGAGGACGTGCAAATCGAAAGCAGCGCAGATAATAACACTGATAAAATGCAGACGTGGTAAATTCACAATGATCATATGCACTAATTCAAAACAAGGGAGACTTTGCATCACATGGTGAGATGGCAAACTTACCCCTAAACTGCTAATAACAATACCTACCATTACTACCATTCCTTACCTGTCAGCAGCAACACTTACTTTGCATAGTGTGACTCTCAGAGTAACATTCAAAAGCATACGTACTAATTATGAAATACATTCTTTTGTCTTGTATTTAAACAATGTGCATATGCTTTTTATATCGTAGTAGAGAAGGGAAAGGGGAAGGCATAGACTCCATATTTCGTAGTCTCCGTACATTCTCCATACAGTCTCACATGTCCCCAAGTTCACACGAGCCCTTAAGCGTGCACAGTCTCACATGTC